AAGCCACAGACATATCTCGCTCGATGCGTCTTTCCCACGCCTCCACAACTCGTTCGTCTTACCAGATATACACTGAATGCAGTGCAGTAATGGCGTATGTCCACACTTTGTGTTGTGACCGCTCTGAGTTGGATATCATTTTATACAGGAAATCGTATAACTGTTTCTGTGCTATGAAATAGAGATCTCGTTTAGAAGCACTGACAGTTCTGGTCTGGATTTATTTTTTGTCGTTTATTACGTTCAGTCAAATGAAGACAATTACAATTGAGACATTTTGTTTTGTAAGTCTGATTGTGGTCAACCTGGTTGTGCGTTATCCGTACTTTAATTTCGTTGGCTTTGTTTCATGCCTTAGCCATCCATTTGAAACAAGAATTGTTGTCTGATTTACTGTTAGTTATGCCACTCTTGATGTGACTGGTGTACAGTAGTGAGCGTGAAGCTGAGTAACTGACATATGTACTTCTCATCTCTTACGAACTGTTCCTTCAACAAACCAGTGCATATTCTGTTCCGACACGTTTAAAACTGGAAGTGGCTTGTAATAGTAAACAGTTTGTTCCATCTCACACAAACATACAAAGCGAAACGATGCTACACTTGGGAGTTATGAGTACAGTCGGATTTTATGCACGTCAAAGAAGTCATATTTGTTAGTCTTGTCCGCCTGTCTTTTGTTTCGCTTTGAAGGCCACTGACAGAATTTGTATTGAGTTTTATACCGTGTATCAACATTAAAAGTTGTAGGTACCACATAATTTGCATTCTGTATCGGGTCGAGTCCGTCAGTGATCGCCAGGAAGATGATATAAACGTTGGTAAATATAGGCAAGACCGTAAATTTCAACATCTCAAAAGACTGTAATTTTCATATTCGCCGCCGTCAGAACCTGAAATCTCAGTAATATTAGGCGATCTGAGCAAACTGAAAAGGGTGAATCCCAGTGCCCTAATTTGCTCACGTAATTTCTCCCTCGTAGGCTTTACGTATTTTCCTTATCATTCCGTGGAAACACATAGGCCTAATTATTAGTTTCTCTTGAAAGCATCAGACGAGGGTTTAAATACACACAAAATAACTGATGAAATTATTTATATGTAACCTTGATCTTCTAATAAATATTGTCCCTTAGTTTCAGAACAGAAGCTGTCTACGTCTTCAAATGTTTTCCGTGCAAAATGTTTGTTTCCCGTTAAATCGGTTACCACATAAAGAATCTTCAGAAATAAAAGTCCCATAGTTTGAAATGTTACGTCATCGCCCTGACGTAGTCCCGGATGAGGTTATTTTTTTAATCTTTACGTACCAACTCCCCGGGCATAAAGTTGCTCTCTGTGGTACTGTTGTTTGAGGAGGGGGGGGGGGTTGAGGAAAGGGATCATTGGTTCCCAAAGTCTGAGTCTGCTGATATTATTAAAAAGTCGTCGTCGATTACAATTTTTTATATCGCTTTCCTTTATATCTCATGATTTTATAGAACATTAATAAAAACAGAGAGAGATGGGCATCTGTAAAAGGGTTTATTACGTGTATTATACGTAGATGATTAATTAGAATACTGACCGGGGGAAAAAAGTTTCTGCTCATGTATATTATGTTTGATTTCGGCTTTTGCATATTCCGTTTTCACGTGGTCAATCGCTGCCATTGAATGAAGAGGTTTTTAATATCTCTTTTATTTGTACGTCTTGAAAGCAAATAACATTATTGCGAGAAGTTGTTTCCCAGTTGCTGCATCCTCGCTGTCATCTGCTGCTTCAGGACACTGTTCAAATGCTGAACCAGTTTGCGAATCAGAATCAGCCCTGGAATGTAGCGGCTCGTGGGAGAGGGGATAAACATTGGAAATGTTGCATATAAGCGTCCATTCATCTAGAATATTTCTTCCTGCTCCTTCATCAAATATACCAGGTGATTCAAAAAGGACTTTACAACTTTGAAAGTGTATAGAAATTTATTCAGAAGGCTTACAGAATCGGTTGAGGTGTCATTTTGTAGCAAAACAAATCAAGTTTAACTCACGTTGTGCTGTAGTACCGAATTCCGTCACCGCGAGCGCAAGCGGCAGTGAATTTGAAAATGGCTCGAAAATTTTCTCATACCACAGTTAGACGAAGATGACCAAAAAGGACGCATTAACTTCCAGCCAGACGGCGCACCACCTCACTACCTCACAGAAGTCCGGGATTTCCAGGTCGGTGGATTGGTCGAACAGGGTCGATATCATGGCCACCTCGTTCTCCAGATTTGACACCTCTCGATTTTTTTCTTATGGAGTTTCATTAAATATCGTGTGTATGTTCCACCCTTACCTGCCAATCTCACTGAGCTCAAAGCTCGAATCACCGCCGCAGTTGCAGAAGTGACACCGGATATGCTGGATCGTGTTTGGCAAGAAATTATAGTAAACAGTTTGTTCCATCTCACACAAACATACAAAGCGAAACGATGCTACACTTGGGAGTTATGAGTACAGTCGGATTTTATGCACGTCAAAGAAGTCATATTTGTTAGTCTTGTCCGCCTGTCTTTTGTTTCGCTTTGAAGGCCACTGACAGAATTTGTATTGAGTTTTATACCGTGTATCAACATTAAAAGTTGTAGGTACCACATAATTTGCATTCTGTATCGGGTCGAGTCCGTCAGTGATCGCCAGGAAGATGATATAAACGTTGGTAAATATAGGCAAGACCGTAAATTTCAACATCTCAAAAGACTGTAATTTTCATATTCGCCGCCGTCAGAACCTGAAATCTCAGTAATATTAGGCGATCTGAGCAAACTGAAAAGGGTGAATCCCAGTGCCCTAATTTGCTCACGTAATTTCTCCCTCGTAGGCTTTACGTATTTTCCTTATCATTCCGTGGAAACACATAGGCCTAATTATTAGTTTCTCTTGAAAGCATCAGACGAGGGTTTAAATACACACAAAATAACTGATGAAATTATTTATATGTAACCTTGATCTTCTAATAAATATTGTCCCTTAGTTTCAGAACAGAAGCTGTCTACGTCTTCAAATGTTTTCCGTGCAAAATGTTTGTTTCCCGTTAAATCGGTTACCACATAAAGAATCTTCAGAAATAAAAGTCCCATAGTTTGAAATGTTACGTCATCGCCCTGACGTAGTCCCGGATGAGGTTATTTTTTTAATCTTTACGTACCAACTCCCCGGGCATAAAGTTGCTCTCTGTGGTACTGTTGTTTGAGGAGGGGGGGGGGGTTGAGGAAAGGGATCATTGGTTCCCAAAGTCTGAGTCTGCTGATATTATTAAAAAGTCGTCGTCGATTACAATTTTTTATATCGCTTTCCTTTATATCTCATGATTTTATAGAACATTAATAAAAACAGAGAGAGATGGGCATCTGTAAAAGGGTTTATTACGTGTATTATACGTAGATGATTAATTAGAATACTGACCGGGGGAAAAAAGTTTCTGCTCATGTATATTATGTTTGATTTCGGCTTTTGCATATTCCGTTTTCACGTGGTCAATCGCTGCCATTGAATGAAGAGGTTTTTAATATCTCTTTTATTTGTACGTCTTGAAAGCAAATAACATTATTGCGAGAAGTTGTTTCCCAGTTGCTGCATCCTCGCTGTCATCTGCTGCTTCAGGACACTGTTCAAATGCTGAACCAGTTTGCGAATCAGAATCAGCCCTGGAATGTAGCGGCTCGTGGGAGAGGGGATAAACATTGGAAATGTTGCATATAAGCGTCCATTCATCTAGAATATTTCTTCCTGCTCCTTCATCAAATATACCAGGTGATTCAAAAAGGACTTTACAACTTTGAAAGTGTATAGAAATTTATTCAGAAGGCTTACAGAATCGGTTGAGGTGTCATTTTGTAGCAAAACAAATCAAGTTTATTGGTCGAACAGGGTCGATATCATGGCCACCTCGTTCTCCAGATTTGACACCTCTCGATTTTTTTCTTATGGAGTTTCATTAAATATCGTGTGTATGTTCCACCCTTACCTGCCAATCTCACTGAGCTCAAAGCTCGAATCACCGCCGCAGTTGCAGAAGTGATATGCTGGATCGTGTTTGGCCAGAAATTGATTTCAGGTGGGATGTCTGCAGTATCACCAATGGCAATCGCATCGAACCAAAATGACTGTTTGAGGTAAAACTTGATTTGTCTTGCTAGAAAATGACACCTCATCCGATTCTGAATAAATTTCTATACACTTTCAAAGTTGTAAAGTCCTTTTTGAATCACCCTGTATAACAATCAAAATATATGGTATATTCTGTGGGTTATAATCCGGGTTTTCATTGCGGTGATTATGAAGGTGACTGTCTTGTGGGATATTGCACCATGCAGTCTTGTAGAAATATACCGACGTTTCAGATGTGCTTACTACCTTCATTATAAGGGCGATTAATTATCATCATACTAAGCTGATTCGGTTTCATGGGGGTCGTTAACTGTCTCTGTTGTAAAGGATTTATATTGAAATGTTATTGGTACCGATTTGGTCAAGAACTGTCATTCTCTTCCCACCATCGGCCTCTTTCGTAATTCACTTACATATTAATCTTTTCACAGATAAGATACGAATATAAAGTCTTTTGGACGGAAGAATAACGCATTCTTTAAAACATAAGTTCAGTAGCACGAGAAGAATGCTAGAAAAAATTTAGTAAGAATTGTACAAATTTTTTTTCTTCAAAATTTACGTAAATCGAGTTTGCTTTCTACATTTGATTTCTGTAAGTCCATTTAAATATTATAGTATTATTCCATATATCTCTCTCGTTCGCAGTGATCCTTTTTCTTGAGTTTTTTTTTTCCCCAGAATAATGTTCGCATTTTCTGTTTTTCCTTTGCTTCAGTGTCCGTACTCATCACAGCACATGAGCGGCTCTACGATTACGTACTCATTTGGCCTATATTATTAAATCAGCTGAATCTTGAATCGCTTGCTTCGAAGTAGAAAATGGTTTCAGTCGTTCCAATTTCAGTAATTCTGTGTTTCCTTTGGCAGGCGGACGAGCCTTGTGACGACCCTTCTCTGATTGATGACTATATAAAAGCCACCACATTCGAAGAAGGCTTTAAGGGTGAGTAACAATCCCTTTCACATTTGTGCTTCTGTTCTCGGATTAAGAAGTCATTTCGCATTGTCTACCGTTTGCATTTATGCGTGCGGGACTTATGAAATACACTCGCCCCTTCGCCATAGATTAGTTTACAGAGACCGGTAAGTTTTAAGCTTCTGTGTATATTAAAATTTTAGTAAAGAATGTATTTATTATCGTGTGAACAGTAAAAATGTAGGTACTAATTTTCTGCTTTCAATTTGAATATGTAACATTGCGATTCTAAAAATGTGTAAATGTAAGTTATTTGCATGAAGCATAAATTTTGTTAAGTGGAGGGTTGATGTGATATAAACAACCAGTGTTTGATTTTAACGGCAGCATGATTTTATCTTTGCTACCACGTCACGTCAAGGCCGACTCTGAGGCCCATCAAGTCTCTGTCCTTCCCGTGGGTTAGAACGACCACAGTTTGAAATTGACCATCTCCTTTAATTAAATATATGCAGGTAGCCTTCCCGATTCCTGTTATGAACAATTGTATTTCAATTTCTTCTGCATTTAACGCCTAAATTAAAAATTTGAGGGACTTTTAGAACAATTTTAAATCGATTTTATGCAGTATTTGACTGCATTTTTAAATACGCCTTACGTTCCAGTTAATTTAATCGTCAGTGTTATTAATACACAAGTCGACTTTGAGGAACCTCGGGTGACACAGAAGGCTTGGGAATTTCTTGAGAGTGTTCATTATCTTGTCAAGGAGGACTCTGCTCTGGAGATGGTTCGTCTTCGACCTCCTCTGCTAGACAATGAGCCGTGTGTTACCAGTAGCCTTTACAAAACGTGCAGATGTTTTCTTTCACGTGAGCTCCCTCCTGACTTCTGGTGAAATGACAAATTGTTAAATTCATAATTATCTTGTGGTAGAGGCGCCTCAAGGAAGGCGTCTTACACGTTTATATATATATATATATAGCATAATCTGCTGCTTACTTCGTAGAAGGGTTCCGGCCCTTCCACCCTTCTGCTAGCATTCCGAGCTACTTTCCTTTCACCTCTAATTAACTTAAAGTATTTGAACAATGTTTTAACTCATTTTAACCGGGTTATAAGTAATTACACTAATGCCGTCTAATTAGATTCTCCTGTTGTAATTTTGAACGGTAAAGATTCAGTTTTTTATCTTTGTATTAACCCAGTTGTATGGGGCCGTACTACAGCACAGAAGGTTGGTCGCCGGTCTCCTCACCGCTGAGTCCTGAGTTTGTTGCCAGAGTAGTCTGTGTGTGATTTGTGTTGGATAAAGTAACACTGGGAGAGGTTTTCCTCCGGGTCTTCGGCTTTCCCCAAATCGGTAGTAATCCAACGCTGGTCCATATTCGTTCGTGTAACGTGTGGGGGTTGGACAATGGGGCCGTTAACGACCCAGTTCCGCAGAGACATGACTTCACCTCACCAGCACAATATTAAAAAAATGAATTATTTGTTTAAATTGATAATCAATTTTTATGTAATCTGTAGGCAATAGTTAACGACCTAACTGCGCAGTGCAGGTCAGGGTCTGTGCTGTTCAAGAAACTGCCTTCGTTTATGGAACTCTGGTATTTGTTACAGTATTTCCAAAAGTTTACTGTTATGTACTTGAATGCAGTTTACATCCTCATATGACATTTGTCTAAAATCTGTTATAATTATATCCTCAAATCTACGTCTAGGTCTTGGCAAGCGACCTTTTCCATTGAGGATTTCTAAAGTAAAAATTGTATTATCCATTTCCAGTCGTTGTTTTGCTTGCTTTTTAATAATTTATTTCATAATTTTTAAATTGAAAATGCAAATTATGCGACTGTTTACTGTATAATTTTCCTCACACTCTTAAAACTTTCTTAGGCCCGGGTATGTTTTCCCCAGTGCCGTGTTCACGAAATTCCTTAAACTGTAGCAATCGTTTGCACTCATATTCAAACAGTGATTTTAAATTAATTTTTGTTATTGTTTTAAAATTGTTGTTTCAGTCCGTATCGTTATTTTCCAAACGAAAACGGGCATGCTAATTCTATCTTTTTGTTATCACGCGGTTTGAAGTTAAGAATTCGTGCTGCTCCGTACGTCTGCGTGGCGTGATGTTTTATTAACTTCACTTTTACTATGGAATTCGTTTGCATTTTCGTTTGTTACTTTGGTACTTGGTCCCACGGGCTAATCAAAGAATAAGGGAGAGACTTGATCAGTAGGCCTACGTGATAAATCATCGGTAGAGAAGCGAATTAAATTTAGTAGATTTTCACTTTCTCACTCTTTACGTCATGTTCGGAAATGTCATTAAGGTGGGCGGAGCCTCCCAATGACGTAAGACGTTAATGAGTTCTGTGATTGGCTACCGCGTATGTAATTTAACTTTGCGTGACATAAATTGTGTCGGGATGTGGTGATTACAAAGAGAGGACGATGATTAGCGGTGAGAAGCTGGAACACACGGACATGAACTGAGGAACGTATCTGGTCACGTAGATTCATCTGCTTTTGTTTGGGATTTTGTAAAATTGCAATGTCTTCGAAAGAAAAAGACGATTGTACAAATGCACAAAGAATTTTAGACGGAAGACTTCACCTTGGGGGTAGGCGTGGATCTAGACGAGTGACAAAGTGTGAGGCTGTTTATCGGTTTCAGCTGGCTCAGGATACTGTCTAATCGAGGGCTTTGTGATCACGGTAGTGAGCATTAAAAGTGGGTAATTTTTCGTTTAGTTGAATGACAGGATTGAAAAGATACCCTGGGGCATTGAGTTATAAAATTAGGATTTTGACACCAAGATTTAAAAGCAAATCTTGTTTCTGTATCTTTCATTTTAACTATTTTACAAGTTTCAACTTTATCATGGTCTTCTTTTTTAATTACTCGCGTGTAAATGTTGATTGCTGTCATTTTATTAAGGTTTACTCCACCTGATAGTTAATTCCATGTTGTAAGTGGCCTGTAATTTTCTTAATTTTGGTAACTTGGCACTCTTTGATGCATTCCATGTAACTACTTGCTGTAAGATGTAATTGTCGGCTCCACCTGCAGCTGTGTGTAATAATTATAAAGTGAAGTGGGACTTTGCTGCGTTAGTTTGAATGATTGGCTGTGTACTGACAGGGGAGTGAACACCTGTAGGAAGTGAAAAAGCGAAGAAACAGGCGGACTGAGAGAAATACTACAAAATGGGGTTAAGAGAAAAGAGAAGAACAAGAAATTAATAAAATAAGAAATAAGGGAAGGAAGTAAAATAAAAATGGAGAGAAAAAAAACAGAAATCGATAGTAATGGATCTGTGGGGGCAGGGGTTATCAACTCGTGGCTCACCGTTGTTTTGTACGGCTCGGGTGTATATATTTTTAGTATTATGTCACTCTGTATGATGTAAATTAGTTAAATGGTACAAGAAAACACGTTTTGTTAGTTTTTTTTATGTATTTGAACTGCGGTGGGGTTTCAGTAAATAGACCTCATTTATAGCCTTGCGGCCCGCGAGCCGATAATAAAGGTTGACTGTGGCCCGAGGTCTGGTAAAAGTTGAGAACCCGTGATTCAAATCAGCCAAGATGAGATGGATAAAAGAGAGACGAGAAATACATACAGAATTTTAGTTGGAAATACTCAAGGGTGTACATCTTAGGAGGTCTGGTCGTATGTGGGGAAAATATTGAAATTGAACGAAGATAAATTGTATGTGAATGTTTGACAGGATTGAACCTACCCAGTAGAGGGTTCCATTACAGGCTTTTGTGAATTCGGCAATGGACCTTATGGTAACAGTCTGACCAAGAACTATAAAAAGATTTCGGGTTCTCACAGCGACGATTATTGAGATGGTTACCTTCTGGGTTATTGCTCTGTGTAGTCTGGTAGAAAGTTGGTGAATCATTGCCGTAAAGATGAAGGTAGCAAGCACCTCTGAAACGTCGGTAAAATTCTGCCAGACGACACGGCCCATCAACCCAGAAGGCATCCATCTTCAGCAACTATAATTTAATGAAATGGGGCTGGTGAACTCGTGTCTGTAAGGAATTAAAAATACATTTTTGGGATACATTTTGGGGCGCAGGGCTGTTGGATGATGTTGACGTACTATTATTTTTTAAAATATGAGTTGTGTAGTAGTGGAGATTGGGAATCACTGGTTCAGGCTGTGTAAGGCGTTTACATTGGATTGAAAGAGTCAAAAGTGCAATGCAAACAAGCTAGCTCCTTATTCGTGGGATTAGTGGATTAGAAGTTGAATGTTGGGCATAATCCTTGTTATATAATCTTTTGTCACGGACTAAGATCCAAGGACCCCTTGTTTTGTTGGGTAAGATGAAGCCTGTAGAACGTCTTTGTCGTCTCACAGGATATGCGTGTTAGCATCGCAGTGCGTGTAATTTAATAGTTCTACGGGCTCCTACCTCATTTTGAAGTAGACGAAGTATCCATAAAATGTACCTTATAAAAATATCAGCTCAGTGGCAAGTGTTTGAAAACTTACAACCAGAAAATCAAATTGTTGTTCACCAAACGGTTTATTGTCAGTTTTACAGAATCGTAAGGTTTCTTTTACGGATATAATTTAACGGTTTCTCTCGTCTCTTTGGAAAATAAAACTTTCGGTCTATAGCAGTTTTAATTATGTGTGATTTCTTCCAATTTTGGTCGGAATGTGGTATTACATTGTCAGAATAACGGAACAGTAAAGTGGAAATACACAAGAAAATGTTGCAGTCTGACGGAACAATCGTCTCATCTGTGGCCTGTCTGGTTCATGTCAGACGAGATCAGAATTGCGTGAAATTACCTTGCGCCTGTGCATTTCACTTGTCTTATTCACAAGTTTGAGAAGGTAAATAATTTAGTTACGGACTAAATCGTTGGCTTCTAGAATTTAGCGCCGTCTTTACCGAGAAATATTTCGCGTTTCATTCTGCCATGTTCTCGACAACAATAACGTAATAATACCATAAATTGAGGGGTATGAGCTGGGCGGAACACGTAACAGGCA